AAATATAATTTTCTAATATTATTAGACAAATAAATAAATTATATTAAATTAGTTTAGAAACTTTATATATTTTAATTGCAAATATTTTACCAATTGCTTCTTTAAAAACATTAGGGAACTTGCTATACTCTACCAATCAAGCCCAGTGACACTCCATTTATTTTCCATCACCTGAACACTGAAAAGTAAAAAGATATATAAAATCAGATCCATTAAATTCTAAGATTTGATTTACATTTCTAATTAAAGTTGTTTTTGATCATACGTATAGATAATTATATAAAAATTCCAAGATTCTAAAATTTCAAATACATACAAAAACAATCATATGTAAATTTTAAATTTATGAATATTAAAATTTTATATTTTAATTACATATATTCACCCTGCGTCTTATCCTAGTTAGCTTTTTAAAACATTAGATTAACGCGTACGTAACCACTTTAAAACGAATAACATACGTATTTTTTTAGAGAGAGGTTTGAACTTATGTTGTTACATATCAGAACTCAGATACCATCGAACTATAGAATATGTCTACACTCATATGTTACATCGAACTCAAATACTTTACGTCTTTACCATTTCCATGTTATTTTTTTTTGTTTTACCATCCAATCTCTTATTAAGGTCTCAATGTAACTAACCTTTTTCATTTTTTAAGAAGAGGTCAAACCTGGATTCGAATCCTCGAAAAGAGGCGAGTTTTTTAATCAGGTGTTTGTGGTCGGATGGTATCATAGCGTTCCATGGATCTTACGGGATTTGAATTCGAATCCGTCTACACTCAAATTATTATAGCGTATGGCCATCGAAATTTTCACATTCTCTATTCGGGAAATGATTTACCATTTTTTTTTCTAATAAAATGTCTTAGATGTTTGCTAATGCATACATCAAACTAGAATATGTTCAAATCCAAATGGCCCCGACTCCCATGATGTGATATTCGCCTTTCTTTCTGTGAATATATATGTCTTTCGCGATATTGTAACTAGAGACTGAAACTACTAAGCAAACTTTAAAACTTTATAATGTAATATATTTGATGATAAACAATCTTATATAACAAGAGAAGGTGCGACTTGCTCATGGATTTCATTATTCCGAAGCAGGTGATGGCTAATTGGTATATGATTCCCCAACTAAGTGTGGAGTGTGTTATCTTAATATTTACACATGTGTTTTCCTTCTGCAGATAGTACTCGTTTTCATGTAAGCTTCTTCTGTTGAACTATTTCATCTTGAGATGTATACTAGTATTCTCATCATGTTATTTGCCTCTTTTAAAAGTCATCCTATATTTGTTTACAAATACGTATCTACAGTATCACCCTTCACTCGTTTACAGTTCCACCATTATATCATTCTGCAGATGAACTTCCACCATATGGTTATCCAGAGCACACACACTACTACCCTAATAATACAAGATATCGCCTTTAGCGTTTTAGCATGGTAGACCCTGATGCCATCCTCTTTTTTTTTGTTATTGTGCCATATTATAAATATTATATATATAATAATATAAGCTATATATTTGTATATCCCAAACTACATTGATCCAGTGAGATATAAAATATGTAATTTTCTTACCTATATCCATTCTAGACATGTCCTTTTCATGCAATCTTGATAAATTATCTTCTTTGACCAATCAACCACACACTGTACTTTGTTTTTTTTAATGAAAAATAAATTAGAATATGCATATGATATAGTTATTATCCAGCATGAAAAAAGGTCGGTTCCATAGACAAATTAAACTAATTAAAATACATTAATATTTCCAGAATAGTACATACACCATCAAAGATTCAAATACAAAGTTAGCTTCACAAGAGACATAGCACATACCAAACCACACACCATGTAAGACACACAACCCATCTTGTGGTCAAGATCCTGAAGTTATAAAACCACCAAAATATGGCTACATATCCCTGACTTGGAACATGTTGCGATTCTTGACGACGATGTCGTACATGTGCATCGACTTAAACCTGGAGAAATCAGTAGGGAGTGAGATGAGATGAACGGTGGATGCTTTGTGGAACTGAAGGAGATTAGGCTCCTCGTAGTAACGTTCCCAGCCAAGTGCGTAGAGATGCCGCTTGAGATGTGAGTAAGAAGTTATGACCTCGTTGCTTGGAGTGTATACCAGAACCTTTCGCTTTGCCTTCACAGTGTTCGTCTCATCAGCTCCGGGATTCTCCACTAGCCGAATGATGCCATTCTTGAACACCCACACCCCTGACATCTCGAGACCTTGGCCTTCTGAAGAATATAGTGTAAGTTGTTATTGAGATATTAGGATAGCCCAGTCACTCTATTTATAAGAGCAAGCCCAGTCACTTTTTTCTGCAAGGTATTTTATTTGTACTATATGTATTCTTGAGAGTCTGACATAATATATTGTTACCACAGCTTTTTTTACAAAGTTTCTTGCACACTTTATCTTGTTAAAAAAAAAAGAGATCATGATTCATGTGCCATTTTGAAATATATTTCGTATTATATGTACGAAATGGAAAACTTTGATAATTTGATTATGATTTTACTGCCACAAATTATGTTTAGAGAATACGATTTGGTTATATGTATACGCAACTTAGTTAATTTAACAATAGGTATTTAAAATCAAACATATATATAACACTAGTTTGATTAAGCATACTTTTTTTTTTTTTTTTGTAAAAGAAGATTTAAGCATACTTCATAACTTACAAATATGTTTGTGTCACATGGTTGAAACTTGAAAGATTGAACGGCAGTTTACAGTACATTTACTTAACTGTTTATTAATGTTTTACACAGCTCAAAACTTTACCAAGTATATTATATCTTTTACAGTTGACCCCTAGCTTTGTGGATAATTATGTGAAGCCATTCCTGAATCAGATTATCAGCATGGGCATTCCTTCACTTTCTTGGACTGACAAGTCATTTCGAAGTGCTTGTGGTATATTGACATATAAATCTGAAGAAGATGAAATATCTAAAAGAAAGATAAAATAATAATAATAGGGAAAAAGTATACACAACAAAATTCAATATATATCTCTCACAGGGATGGGCAAAAGGGATCATACGGCTTCAAATTGGTCCATACACTAGAACATGGGTTGAATCAACCCAACTTCCACTATATGATTTAGTTGTAATATAACGAAAAGCTTAATGTTCATGAGTATTATATTAAAATGGAAAAAAAAAATAGAAGAAAAATAAAACAAAATATATCATGAAGAAATTTTGAAATAAATCGTCACAGATTTTACTTCATTAATCATTTATCAAAAATAGTGTTTGTTCTTAATATAGGAAACGGGTATCACTCTTTGCTTTTCTTGCTATTTCCTATCAATTAATTATGATAAAACAGACTCAGCTGCGTTCTCAGACCTCATTCTAGACTCATGAGTCATGAGGTAGATCAGTCCCAGTTTTGACGGTTCTAAGAAACGCATGCATGCTTCACGAATTAAAGCTAGCACTCCGCAAACGTTTTTTGTGTTGGTCTCTTCTACACCGTTTGAAGACGGCACGTATGTCCATCCACATACATCATGTTACCAATAAACAAATATATTTCTTAGTTGAAAAAGTATACACACATAGGATTTTCTGCACTCAGATTAGTAAGAAGAAAAACTCAAGTTTGAAAAATCAAATAGGTTCAAAGGCACTTACATTTTAAATATATCTTACTTTTAATAAGAAATTTAAAACATAAATAATTTGTTTAGAATGTAGGCAGAGAAAATTGAGTTCACAAATCACAAGGTTAAGGTGGACTCTTATAAGTTTATGGTGGTAATGAAAACCTTTTGCGAGTCATGACAAATGGATCAAACTAGTGGCCTTCTACAACCCTACATTGTTTGCATGCAAATTTTCATACAATTTTTTTATCATATTTTTAATAAACAAATATAATAGAGAAGCAGATAATTTGGTTAAGAGAAAATGATTAAGATAATACTTTTTTTCGCAAATATAGTACTTAAGAATAAAAATGACCAAAATAACACTTAATGTTTTATCAAAAGAGATAAATATACACTTATATCTCAATGATAAATTAAATAGACATTAGGGTTTAGAGTTAAGGAGTGGGATTTATGATTTAGGGTTTAGAGTTTAGGGTTTAGATTTTAGATTTTAAGGTTTAGAGTTGGGGAATGGGGTTTTGGGGATAAGATTTCAATTTTTGAAAAATAATTTTTTTTTTAAATTTTCAAAAGATAAAATGCTATTTTTGTCATTTTAGTTTTTGAGTACTATTTTTGTGATATAAATTTAGAAATGTGTTAATTTGGAGATTTTGCCATTTGCTTAAAGTTTTTAGTTTTAATTATTTAAAAAATAAGTTTTGAGTTTTTTTTTTGTTTGGTTTAATCTTTTTTTTTGTTTGGTTTAATCTTGGACACTTAAATAATGTAAGGGCTTAAGCCCACTATCACCTCAGGCCCAATATGAGCCCTTAGATTTGGCGCCGAGTCCATAGTCATCTCTTATATATTAATCCTGAAGCATTCATAAATGCACAACCTTGGAGAGCATGCTTACGTGTCAAGCTCATAGAGTTTCTCAGCTTTAATTTTTTAATGTACCAACTTTGGTAGGAATGAAATAATGTAACATTTAATTTCTTGCATTTAGGACTATAATATATAGACATTTTTTAAGGGACCAACTTTGCTAGGTATAAAACAATATATTTTATTTCCTTAAATAAAAGCTACGTAATTACCTAATATGATTAACATATATATGTAATTAATGATTATGAATAATACATTTTTTGTATCCTCTCTTTTTTGTTTAACTTTAAATTATTAAAATAAACTAAACAATCACATTTAAATATATAATAAAAAATTAAAAATTTTTATAGGTTATATTTTTATTTTTTTTAAAACGACCATAAATAACTAAAAATAGTTAAATCGCACATTGAAAATTTTATGATCAATGGTTTAACTTTGTTTTTTTTCCAAAGAAGATACAAATTATCATAAATCGTACGGATATGAAGTATCATTAGTAGATATTCATACTATAAATATGTTAATTTAAAAATTTCAGTGAAAAGGTTTGAGGTTAGTAGATACAAATTATAGTATTTGAAAGATTTTTGTAGTTTGTTTTATTTGCTTCTTTTTTTTAATATCTTTTAGTTTGTTTAGATAATTTAACTAATTTAAAATTAAATTTATTAATAGTTTAAATATTTTGATTTTTTGTCAACTTTTAATGTTTAAGAAATATTTTTTGGGATGATTTCAGATATTA